TTTTTAAAAGTTATCGTGAAATTATCTTTTCGAATTTCCAAAATCGAATTAAATGAGGATCTCCCAGGTAGTGTTACGGTTCAAAATCCATATGAATGTAGTGGGATGCTTCTGCCACAAAAATAATATATATATATATATATATATATATATATATATATATATATATATATATATATATATATATATATAAATACTCGACCAGCGTATCATGTGACATCCAGCAAAAATTTTGACTTTGTGACATCCACCCTTTGCAAAGACTTTAGGAAAAAAATAAAAATATGACTTCTTTTAATTAAAAAAATATTATGGCTGAGCGAAAAATATCACAACCATACACATTTTAAAAAAATAAAACGTCCTATCGTTGTGAGATCCAAAGTATACACGGTATATATTTTTATTAACAACACTTTGTGACATCCAGAAAAACCTTGCATCTTGTGACATCCAGTTGTTACGTCACAGTATACCATTTCTACAGAAAAACTGCCATTCTTATAACATCCAGCAAGTATATAGATACATTTTTAAATTAAGTATCTTATTACATCCTAAACATTTAACACGTTCAGCGCCAAAGCCGACCCTCAAATTCTACGATTTCTTATTGTTTTTTATTCCAATGTGATTTCTTTTGTTGTTTTGTATGTGATAAAATAATTCATTCCATTTTCAAAATATTTTCTTTTTAGTTTTTGATTGTGTATATTTTTAGATACACTGGCCCAAAAAATAGTTTTCGATGAAGTAACTTCTTGATATTTTTTTGATATGTGGAAATCCCTTATAGAGATTCGGTACAGGTTCTCCCTTTCCCAATAGTTTTACCCTTTACCCACTAAAATCACCACCTGAGCAAGTTATCGCCGGCCTCCTGCTAATATCTTTTACATGTTCGTTGGAACTACTTTAAGTATCTATCGACCTTATATGGTTGATTCTCCAGTTTCAAGTGCATTAACACGACCAGTTTGCAAATCTAACCTAACATTACCTGAGAAGTACCCAAAACATAAATCCAGCGGTCTTTATTATTTTTGCGCAAAGACTACACTCGCCGATTTAAAATTCGATCCATTCAAAATAATGATTTATTTAAAAATGCCCTAACTTTCAAATGCGGAGGCTGATTTATTTGAAGTTTTTAGCAACTTTTAGATAAAATACTGTAGTTTTAACATTATTATTCGTACATCTAAAAGTAATTTAGTACTCGCCGGATATACAGGGGGAAAAGAAAACAATTTTTTCCTCTACTTCTGACACACCGTGTAGGTTATTTCTGCTAACAGATCTGCACACAATTAACTTTATCAAGAAGACTGATTTGTTTCCAACATTTTGTTTTTTTATTTACCCCGATATCTTAATTTATTTGTGAAATGTGACGGTTTAAAGAAAATGCAACAATCTTAATTTTTTTATTCAGTTTTAGCAGAGTAATACATAATTTTATAAATAACTCAAACAACAAATAAACTAATAATTATTACAAATTAATAACGAATATTTTCCCCACAAACGCGAATAACTGCCTCAATGCGTCATGGCATACCCTCTATTAGATATCGAATCTTTATCTGGTCAATCTGATCCCATTCTTGGACCAAAGCATCTCTCAAAAAATTTAAAATACTTGGAGAATTAACTAGGTTATGAACTCGTCTGTCCATCATGTCTTAGACGTGCTCAATTGGATTGAGGTCTGGGCTACGTGATGGCCAGTTCATCCTCTGAATTTCTGTTTCGTCTAAATATTGAGATACAATCCTCGCAATATGTGATCGAGCGTTGTGATGCATAAACATGAATTCGTTTCCTATAAATGGTGCAAATGGAATTACATATGGATCTAGCAGATCACGAATATATCAGTAAGCTGTCATTGTTCCGCCGCCAACAATGACTAAATCAGTACCAGCTTCCATGCTTATGCCGCCCCAAACCATTACCGATCCTCCTTCATGGAAAAATTTGCTTGGTCAAACCTTTGGCCTCTTCTTCGGTATATTCTTTCACGGCCATCAGGAGAACGTAAACAAAACCTTGACTCGTCAGAAAATAAAATCTTACTCCATTCATGGATATTCCAATGTTGATGCTCCCTGGCAAATTGAAGACGTGCTGTTCTGTGATTCCTAAGTAACTCCGGACCAGTTGCAGGTCTTCTGGAGCGCAATCCATGGTCTCGTAATCGCCTTCGAATCGTTATTTCATTAACAGCTACTTGACGTACTTCTTCTAAACGATTTCGAACCATGACAGCAGTAGTATTTCTTTTTCGCAAAACATTTAATGTTACAAAACGATCATCTGGAACATTTGTAGAACGTCGTCTGCCAGATCCTCTTTGTCTCGAAAAACTACCAGTTTCATTAAAACCTTGTACAGTTCTCTGGACGCTACACCTTGTAACACCCAATATTCTAGAAGTATAATACTGAGTCCTACCGTCTTGTACCAGAGCAACTGCTCATGTTGCATCAGTAAGCGTTAAAACCATGATATTATGCTGACAATGAATAATAATGAAACTGCAATTGCCAAGTAACGAATATTTGACAGTTGTCATATTGTGAGTTGGCCACAGCACTCTACTTATTTTGTAGTTTATTCTCCACCGTCATTTAAATTATGACCGTTTCTAAAATGTAGCATTTTCTTTAAACCGTCACATTTCACAAAAAATTAAGATATGGGGGTAAATAAAAAAATAAAGTGTTGGTAACAAATCAGTCTTCTTGATAAAGTTAATTGTATGCAGATCTACTAGCAGAATTAACCTACAGGGTGTGTCAAAAGTAGAGGAAAAAATTGTTCTCTTCCCCCCTGTATATCCGGCGAGTACTAAATTACTTTTAGATGTCCGAATAATAATCTTAAAACTAAGTATTTTATCTAAAAGTTGCTAAAAACTTCAAATAAATAAGCCTCCGCATTTGAAAGTTAGAGCATTTTTATATAAATCATTATTTTGAATTGATCAAATTTTAGGTCTGTGAATGTATTTTACTACAAACATTTTTAACTTCAAATTGTTACTTTTGAGTTAAACAAAAAAGTACATTTCTGAATTAGTTAAGTTCGTTTCCATATTTAAAGAGACCAGAAAAAACTAAAATTAGTCATGTTTTTGTACAATGATTTTACAGCTAAAATATAACGTTTAAATTGTTATTTTTGAGCATTTTGGAGATAAAAAATGAAACTAAAGGGGTTTTTAAGTAACTTCAATACGTTATAATGAGGATAATTTAATTCCATCTGAATTTTTAAAAGCCATATATTATGTTGGTACTTTTATATCTCTGTGCCTATCAGTACCTACCAAAAGCAATGCTTTGAATCAATTTTGCCTAGATTAATTAAAAAGTAATGATTATATTTGGTCATAAATATGCACTTGTAAGTACATTTTATTGTAGTGTACACGCATAACATGTAACTTTTAAAAATATGCTTAGTTTAAAAATAATATAAAAACAGTTAATTTTAGTAATAAAATCATGTAGTAAAAATTAATAGCATATAATTATTTTTTTTGTGCTTTTTCCAAATATGGATACAAATTTAACGACTTGTAGTGTATTCTTATAAGGATAGACCAATTTTTAAATTTTTTGAAAAGATGGAACTGCATTTTGTTTCTTATTAATACCTTAATAGATTATGGTAAGTTGTAGAGAATACATGTGCCAAATTTTAATAACATGTAAGGGTGGTTGGTAAGTTATGAAACAGGAAAGAAATTGGCAAAGTTAATAAAACTACCTGTATCTCGGTTATAAATGACGAAAGAACCATTAAGTAAAGTTATTTGGAATAATATAAGTAGCATAAAAAAACTAAGTATTAAAAAAAGAGTGAAGTAAAACTTTTTATATTAATTCACTCTAAAATAAAAAAAGACAAATAAAATCCGCGTACATCAATATTTATCGCTACTTGAACATACTATTAAGGTTATAACTCTAAACAGCAAGGCACCGACGATGCACGAACGACGATCGTTTGCAGTCGAAATTGGAGTTCAAGTGGAGGACTAGGCTGTTAAGGTGTTAGGAAATAGGAAATTTATTTAAATTTATTTAAATTTATTTAAATTTATTTAAATTTATTTAAATTTATTTAAATTTATTTAAATTTATTTAAATTTATTTAAATTTATTTAAATTTATTTAAATTTATTTAAATTTATTTAAATTTATTTAAATTTATTTAAATTTATTTAAATTTATTTAAATTTATTTAAATTTATTTAAATTTATTTAAATTTATTTAAATTTATTTAAATTTATTTAAATTTATTTAAATTTATTTAAATTTATTTAAATTTATTTAAATTTATTTAAATTTATTTAAATTTATTTAAATTTATTTAAATTTATTTAAATTTATTTAAATTTATTTAAATTTATTTAAATTTATTTAAATTTATTTAAATTTATTTAAATTTATTTAAATTTATTTAAATTTATTTAAATTTATTTAAATTT